GGTTTGGGAGATACTGACGAGGGAAAGGAGTTAGGAGAGGAGGACCTGAGACTTGACAGTCCTGATCAGTCAGTCTGTGATTTTGCCTTGGTCATTGAATGCAATGGACCTTTCCCACACTCTTCAAGTTGCCCTCTGAGATTTTCCCCTCCTTCAAATCTTCAGTCTTTATTTAAACATGATTCCACCAGTACAAAAATGTCCAGGAGAAAAACCCAGTTTGATTTCCTTCCACCAGTCTTCTGAAGATAGCCTCCTATCCCATTCTCTCAGAAGAGCAAGTCTTAAAAATAAACTAAGGAAGTAAGTGCTGTGTCCAAAACCAAGTTTGTTCCAAAGCTGAGAGTAATACAATTCAGGGCTCCCTTGCCCTAATCCAATTTCAACAGCAAATGCCTTTTGTTGGTAATTGTGTTTGTAACTTTTTATGTCCCTGCTCTCTCCAGGACTTGATGGTTTATTAGAATATTTCCAAATCTGGTTGTGATTATAAATGAAAAGTTTGTGCCTGCGTTCTTCAGTGTCACAATTCACATGGAGACATCAGCTGGACTTGCTGGTAATCCAGGCACATCTTCTTCCTGATCATTTGTCCTTCACAAATCACATGTCACAAAGTTTCCCATATACTGTTTTCCCTTGGCCATCATTCTGTTTTTAGTTGCCAACGGTTAATATACAGGAGTATATAAATTCCAAATTTCTAATTTCTCTTGAAAAATCATTAGGTTTGGCAACATTTGACTGGTGTCCCTCACAGCTGAGCACTGGTGTGATTCTTGGGGCTGCCAGCCTATGAACCCCTGTCTTATATTCAGGGATATCCCCAGTTAACAAGTGGTGGTGGGAGGGAGATGTCATTTCCTACAATTCAAGCTATATGACACTCAACAGCATGCAACCCAGGCTTGGCCAATTAGGCATGTCTCCCAGACTTATATATGGGGTGCTACTTCTAGGAAGCAGAGAGAAGTAGAGAACAATTTCTGACAGCAGAACGCAAAAGCAACATACAGTTTCTAGGCAGCAGAAGCAGATGTTTTCTTACCTGTTTGGTTGGGTGGAGTAATTTTGACCATGGTTTCAGGTGTATGATCAGTCTCTGCCCTATTTTCTCCTGTCTTCCTAGTGAGCTATCCAGTATCTTTTTATAACTCCTTTTCTGATTTTAATCTTCATGTCTGAAACTCCGCCCCCTTGAGGCTGGGCATAGTTTCTGCTCAACCCTCTGCCTTTATAACTTCCAGGCTACTTGGCGGTAGGTGAGTTTGTAACTCTGGTCTTTATCTCTCTCTTTCTCTTTATAATGAGAGTACTGGGAAGAAAGTACAAATCACCTAGCACAAGAATCATTAAAGTTAGGAGAAAAAGCTTCGTGGAAGCCCCACCCATCATTTCCACTTATGTCTAATTGGGCAGAACTGGGTCATGTGTGCATCACTTAAGCCAATCAGTAGCAAGGGGACTTTGTCTTTATTGGCTTAGCGTAGGGCCCCACATTCAGCTCAATGTTAAAATCACTGGGGAGGCTCTCTAAAATGACACTGCCGAGTCTCACTCACAGAGGCCAGACTTAATTGGTTTGCCTGGACTTCTGGCAATTGAATTCTTAAAGCGCCCCGGTTGTCCAGTTGGTGTTGAAAGTTACTGATCCAGTCTAGTCCTTGCACATTTTACATATGTCAATACTGAGGTCCAAAAAGATGTCAATTTGCCCAAAGAACTATACTTTCAATTAATAGAAAAAACTGAAATAAACAAAAGCACATATACATACAACATTTAATAGGACAACTTTGTTTTTCCAGGAATATGCAAGTGAATACTGTTAAATAAAATCTATGGGAGATCATCATTTTAGACTAGCTCCTATAGTAGGCCCCAATAGACTATCCCAAAGCAGAATGCAGTCATCCGTGCTAGGTGCCATGAGATCAAAGTGAACCTTAAAATGGGCCGGTTTAAAAATATAAACAAACAAACAAACAAAAACAGTAGATTCCCAGTAACAAATCCCAAAGGGCCCAGTCCGCCTGATCAGGAATAATAACAAAGTCCCTCTCGGCTTTAATCCCATAAGAAAGGAATTTTGAAATGATCAATCTATTTTCTGTCCCTTGTTTGTTTTCTTCAGCCTTTCTTTGCTTATAAAGTGCACCCCCCCCCACCCAGCTCATTGGAGCATCCTATTTTATAGATGGGATACTGCCCAAGTCATAAATGGCAAATAAAAGCCAATTAAGTCATTAAACTCAATTTTGTTTGTGGACAGTACTCTTTTTTTTTTTTTTTT